TCGTACGAACGCCCCACCACGTGCGCCGTTGCGGCCCGCAACCTCTAAATGTCCCCCCAGAAAAGGTCAATAGAGGTTATAATTCGCACGAAATCATAGCGGTTGGTGCTTTTGGGAGTAGAAGCCTCTTGTAGTGGGAGCGTCGAAACACAACGGAATTCGTGCGAAATCCCAGCGGCAGCGTCGAAACCAAGGCCCCGCCCCCCCCGCCGTGTGCGCCATTGCAGTCCGCAACCAATTCCTTTAAACTTACTCTGAACGTAAGAACCCCCATGGTGCAAGCACTGTTTGGGGAAAAAGGCTGGAGCAAGCCAGAATAGGCCGGAATTGGCGCGAAGCCACAACGGGAGCGTCGAAACACAACGGAATTCGTGCAAAACCGCAACGGCACCGTCGGAACGAAGGCCCCACAACCACGTGCGCCATTGCGGCAACCTAAGTGGCCCCCCCAGAAGAGGCTTGAGCAGGGCACGAGGCCATAATTCGCGCGAAATCATAATGGGAGCATCGAAATGTGCAGAATTCGCCACGAAACTACAGCGGGAACGTCGAAACGCAACGGAATTCGCACGAAACCACAGCGGGAGCGTAGAAACGAAGGCCCCACCCCAGCGCGTGCGCTCCTGCGTCGCCTTGCAATCGGCGACAACATGCTGCAACTGACAAGTGCCTTTGGTTGTTGGTACGGCGCGTCGTAGTTGTCATGCGTGGGCGGCTTCGTGTTTCTTGTCTTGGTGTGTCCGTTCACTGCACTCGCCCTAGCACTCGCCCTAGCACCGTGCCCCATACCCCTTGTCTTCGCTTCGGTGCTTTTTGGGTTCTGTGACTTGCTTGTGTCCTCGCTGTCTCTGATGCTGCTGATGAAATCCTTTAGCTGCATCAGCGGCTTGTCCTTGTTGGACTGCTGTCGTCAAGTTTAACCTTGCCGCGCACTTGCCCTGGGTTTGGTGCCTCCCCGCGCATTGGCTGTGTGTGCCTGCCCTCCTTCCCTTCTGTATATGCGCTGCCCCTGGGATTGGCTTTGTGCCTCCCCGCGCATTGGCTGTGTGTGCCTGCCCCCCTCCCTTCCGTATATGCGCTGCCCCGGGGTTTGGCTTTGTGCCTCCCTGTGTGTGGCTGCCCTCGCTTCTGTGTATGCGCTGCCCTCGGGTTTGGCTTTGTGCCTCCCCGCGCATTCGCTGTGTGTGGCTGCCCTCGCTTCTGTGTATGCGCTGCCCTCGGGTTTGGCTTTGTGCCTCCCCGCGCATTCGCTGTGTGTGGCTGCCCTCGCTTCTGTGTATGCGCTGCCCTCGGGTTTGGCTTTGTGCCTCCCCGCGCATTGGCTGTGTGTGCCTGCCCTCCTTCCCTTCTGTATATGCGCTGCCCCTGGTATTGACTTTGTGCCTCTGCGCGCATTGGCTGTGTGTCGCTTTGGCTGTGTTGCTGTGTTTCTCTTGTTATGCGCTGCCCCTGGGTTTGGCTTCGTGTCTCCCCGTGGATTGGCTGTGTGGTCCTGCCCTCCTTTCCTTCTGTTCCCCTGGGTTGGGCCCGCGCGTTGGCTTTGTGCCTGCCCTTGCGCTACCGCGAGCTACTCCTGGGCAGGGCTGGGGTTTGGGTCTCTCTCCCCTCCCTTTGCCTCTCCCCCGTTCTGCCGCAAATTGGTCTGCAGTTAGCTAGATACCCCCTCTTGAACCCTCTGCGGAGGGTGGCAAGGACGTTTACGGAGCCGCCCCGAGATGCAGGGGGGGACGAGCGCGGGCGGCTGCAGCTACTGCTGCTAGCCTTCTCCCCTCCACTTTGGTGCAATCCAAGGGCTATGCAGATGTAAACCTTCTCCCACGGTTCCCAGGCGCATCTCTTGGACTGAATGCAATGTTTCTGCTGATTTTCTGGTCCTTGGCGGCCTCACCAGATAAATCGTCTCATACTCCACTGCTGGTGGAAGGCCAACCCGGCTGGCACGAGTTCGAGTTTCCCTCTTGTTGCCAAAGACACTTCGCCCTTTCGCAAGGCGCCTTCGCTTGCAGCTCGTCCTTTTGAGACTCCTCCGGCTCGTACTCTCCGTCTCAACATCACTTGGAAGACCCGTATCCACTTCATGTCCCACGTGCGCCTGGCCCTCCTTTAGTTCTTGCATCTCTTTACGAGGATCCTTTTTTCTCTGCTGGGAAGGAATATCTTTGGGACCCGGCGCGATCTCACCAGGAGATAGCGGTACTCCTTCCCACTAAAGTCTCACCCCAGGTACCCACATGAAGGGAGACAAAGGGAGACAAGGAGCCCAGGAACCCGGCAACAGTCCTCAGAATGTCGGCAATCCTTAAATGAATTTGGAACCCAACAGTAGACTGTTTTGGGAATTAGGGCGACAATTTCTTCCACTAAAGCTTGAGGGGGGGGGGGGGGCAGAAAGGGCTCATCATTCAAGGCAACCTGGTTCAAACAATGTCGCTTTGCGGCAGCTCTCGTCAATGCCATTGGTCGAGGTTTAGGGTTTAGGGGTGTGTGTGCTTTCCATTTCAAACTCTATGTCTAACATCTTTTTGTTCTTCCCGCGACCATGCTGGGTTAACAATGACTCTCGCCTGCAGGCTAGCCATGAAGTATCATACCCTGAAACCAAAACCCCAAACCCCAAAACCTCGATGGCCTCCTTACATACCACCGCCTTGTGGCCAAGAGATGCAGGGCTCAGGGTTTTAGGGCTTAGGGTTTAGAGGTTTTAGGGCTTAGGGTTTAGAGGGTTTACCGCTCGGGTTTGATGAGGTAAGGCCGACATTGGCTCATTGTAGAGGTTTGTGAGGGCCTAATCTCGCTAATCCCCTTGATTAGGGTTTTGGGTATCTTGTGAGAGGTCACATACGACCGATACCGACTAAACCCACATGTGCGTGGCCACTCAGCTGGTCTTCTAGAGCAGCGTGTAGCCGGCCGTGCTGCCAGAGTAGGACTCAAACTCGCCACCTCATTGAAGCTTCGCTTGCCGGAGTGTGAGTCACTCAACTCGCCAATCTGACCAAAGCTCCGTCCAAACCTTTGGAATAAATCGGTCAAGCACACAACCCACCAAAAACTCCACAGCCCTGAGCCCCAAACCCTAAACCCGAAAGCATAAACCACAAAGCGCCGTGACCCTGCCGAGGTGCAGCCACCTGCTTCTGGGGAGTGCGTCCGTTGCGCACCGCCCGAAACCTTAGCTCTAAACCCTAGGAGAAGTGACTCTTGCGGTCAGGGTTTAGGGATTGGGGTTTAGGGTTTGGGGGATAGGGGTTTAGGGTCTAGGGTAGAGGGTTTAGGGGTTTAGGGTTTCGGGTTTAGGGGAGCCTAACTAGGCCCTGAACCCTAAACTATGCCCTTCTTGGGGTTGAAGGATTGAGGGTTCAAGGTTTAAATCAACCCTATAAACCCTAAACCCTACACCCTGTGGCTTATACCCTAAACCCCAAGGCCAAGCGTGACCATATGATACTACTGGTTAAAGGTCTTTTTGCCGCGCGCCTAGCTGAACTGAACGTCCACGGTTTAGTGTTTAGGCTTTGGGCTACCCTAGGGTTTGGGGCGGCCTCTGTAGAATTCAGGAGAATGGGGTTTAGGGCTTAATTAGGGTTTAGGGTTTAGGGTTTAGGGTTTAGGGTTTAGGGTTTAGGGTTTAGTGCTTTTCGATCTGGCTGCTCTCGTCGGGGGCGGGCTAAAACTCCACGTGGACATTTGCTTGGGCATGCGTCAGCGAGTCTGGCTAAGCCAACCCCACTGCCACTGCCAACATCATTCTAGGACGCTAGACCCGAAACAATAAACCCTAAACCTGAAACCCTGAACCCTGAACCCTGAACCCTGAACCCTGAACCCTGAACCCTGAACCCTGAACCCTAAACCCTAAACCCTAAACCCTAAACCCTAAACCCTAAACCCTAAACCCTAAACCCTAAACCGTCTCTGAGGCAGCAAGCATGGTCCCGAACCTACACCCTACAGAAACGCAGGCCTGGGCTTCGCCCAGGCCCATGGAAACCTCACAGGGCATCGACACGTCCGAGGAGCCCGAAGTTCAGGTTTAGGGTTTAGGGTTTAGGGTTTAGGGTTTAGGGTTTAGGGTTTAGGGTTTAGGGTTTAGGGTTTAGGGTTTAGGGTTTAGGGTTTAGGGTTTAGGGTTTAGGGTTTAGGGTTTCGGGCTTAGGGTTTGGGATTTAGGGTTTTCGGTTTATGGCCTGCACCGTAATTAAGCCTCCAAAATAGCCCAATAACAAGAACCACCTATGACTTCTTTTATCCTGGGCTCCAAGATAAAAAAACCCCTAAAGGCTGAATCCAAAACTGTGTTGTTATGACCGGGGACTAGCGGACCTGTTCAAGGGTTATAGGTACTCTGAGTTGTCCAGTATCCTGGGGAATTAAAGGTTAACCTTTCGAGGGATTAGAAATACCCAAAAAAGGTTAACGGCTACTCACTTGATTACTAAGTACTATACAGAAGACATGGCACAAGAAATAAGAAGCCGGGAGATCCCCGGGGGGGGGGGGTTGGGGGGGAGGGGCGAGGGGGATTCATGTGAGGCTGTGTATTGTAAAAGAACGGGAGGGGGGTACAAGGGGTAGAGATACCTAGGCAAGCTTCGGGAGTAGTGGGAAGTATTAGGGATCCGTTGGATACCCCTGAACCCCCCTCCCTTAAAATTCCTCAACTACCCTAAACCAGCCCAAAACCCTACCTACCTAAACCCTAAACCCTACAGCCCCAAGCCCTGAACCCTAAACCCTAATCCCTACCCAAACCCTGATTCAGGTGAGGCTTTGTATTGAGGCATCCTGAAGGTCATCCGACGGTCGCCAGCCCCTGAGATTCAGGCTGCAAAGGAGGCCGTGACAATTACTGGTCGGTCGCAATGCAAGCCGACGAATTCCAGGCGATGTAACCTCTTGAATTGAAACAGATACCACTAGTGGTCCTTTATAAAGCCGTTTAATTGTGTGAAAACCCTAAACCCAAAGCCCTTAAACTATCCTAAACAACAAGGGCTTTCTCAGGGGTTCACCTCGACGCCCTCCGTCACCAGCACGATCTCTGCCGTGCGCCCAGCAGCCTCCTGCCAAACTTTGTGTGCTGCAGGTCCGTAATAGGCCAGGAACTCTTCCCAAACATAAAACTCACCATCAATCGCCAGACGCGGCTGGTCTTCAAGAATTTCTGGGAGCTGTGCACTCAGCTTGGCTTTCAGCTCTCGAAGACCACGATGGGTGATGGGTCCTTTCGCGGAACAGAGTTCCTTTCCGTTCATCAAGGTGCAGGAGATGACCATGTCATCATTGGCCCGGGCTGTCACAACGATGCTCTTCCTCCTTGGGGCCGCGAACAACTCAAGGAGGCAGGTGTTGCAGCGCAGGTAGGAAGGGCAAGGGAAGTCCATGTGCCTGACCCACCCAAGTGGCTCATGCACTTGCAACTCTGCAATGAAGGTATGGCCACAGCCTACACAGCGGCAGAGAGGAAGTGGGGAGAGAGAGAACCATCGGTCCAGCTCGTAGCGCCTGCAGCGCTCACAATTGTGAAAGCAGCAGAAGCTTTGCAAATGCCACTCCAGAGGCCGTGCTGCCGGTGTTCCTCCTTTTCCCGAACCCTTTGGCATGCCTTTTGGGCGGCTGCCTTTTCCGTCAAGGACGGGGATTTCTGGGTACCGGTTGAATATGTGCCTAGATGTGCGCTCCACTGAGCGACCACGCGACACACTGAGGCCGGCCATGGATCCAGCGGCGGACATCTGGCGAGACACCTGGTTGAATTAGAAGGCTCGGGCCTTAGCGACAGCAATCTGGCACCCCTAAACCCTCACGCCTCGGAATCGGTATGATCTTGTCTTGAAGAAGGAAGACCCCTCAACCCTAAACCCTAAACTTTAAGATTAAGAGGATCCCTTTGAGGGCTAACATCTGACAAATTTGCACCTTCTTGCAGCAGCGGAAGGAGGAAGTGGAATGAACTTGCTGGGAGTTCGGAGGTTCATAACCCCGCACCCTAAACCCCAACCCTGGATGGCTAAACCCTAAACCCTAAACCCCAGCCTAAACCCTAAACCCTAAACCCTAAACCCTAAACCCTAAACCCTAAACCCTAAACCCTAAACCCTAAACCCTAAACCCTTAACCCTAAACCCTAAACCCTAAACCCTAAACCCTAAACCCCAAACCGCCACGCTGGGCTCCATGGCCACTTGCTTCAGGTTCTCCGGCTTCAAGCTCTGCAGGTTGGCCATGAAGAGGTCGACTTGAAACCGGCCCTGGCTTTGAGAGGTTTAGGGTTTAGGGTTTAGGGTTTAGGGTTTGGGGTTTAGGGTTTAGGGCTTGGGGTTTAGGGTTTAGGGTTTGGGGTTTTGTGTTTAGGGTTTAGGGATAAATCTAGGTTGTGTAGGGTTTAGGAGGAAATTAGGGCTCATGTAGGGTTTAGGGGTAAATCCAGGGTGTGCAGGGCTTCGGATGAATGTAGGGTTTATGTATAGGCTTTCGGGCTAGGTTCCCACGTAGCATAAAGTTTGAAGGGGCATCGTCGTTGGATGGGCTTTAACAAACGGGAAGAAGGGGGTTCTACTATCTAGTGGTTCGCAGCCCGAGAAATCTGAAATGGCTACCTCAACATAGAACCCCCTAACTTGGGTTTAGGGTTTATGGCTTAAGGCGGTTTAGGGTGTATATGCGCTGATGGTTCGCCGCAACCATAAACCCTCAAGCCTCAACCCTATGCGACCATGCACCGCGGGGGGCAAAGTGGAAACCAAACCCTAAACCCTAAACCCTAGGTGTTACTTATTTCAGAATCTAAAGAAAATACATCCCACCCCTTCTATGCGCCAACATCGCACCGCTAAACCCTAAACCCTAAACCCTAAACCCTAAACCCTAAACCCTAAACCCTAAACCCTAAACCCTAAACCCTAAACCCTAAACCCTAAACCCTAAGAGGGTGGCTGGAAGCCGCACCCCGCCTTCATCTCATCCCACTTGGTGATGAGCCCCTGCCTTGGTGACAGTCCAGACTTGGGAACAAGGGTTTAGGGTTTAGGGTTTAGGGTTTAGGGTCTAGGGTTTAGGGTTGGGATGATCCTCCTTTATACTAGCAGCCCTTAATTCGGATTATAGTACCCCCCCCCTCCCCCCCCCCCCCCCCCCCCCCCCCCCAATTATCATCCCAACTAAGGACTGTTAGTATGAGGGGGAACACCGCATGTCGAGACCCTAAACCCTTTAGGGGGTACAAGGAGGGGCCCCTAGAAGGAACCTTAGGTTTAGGGTTTAGGGTTTAGGGTTTAGGGTTTAGGGTTTAGGGTTTAGGGTTTAGGGTTTAGGGTTTAGGGTTTAGGGTTTAGGGTTTAGGGTTTAGGGTTTAGGGTACAGTAAATGAAGGGCTACACGGGGGGACCCCTAGAAGGGACCCTTGATCTTATTCCATATACAACCCCTATATATACATTCGATCCCCGAAATGCCTAAGTAGCCCCTACACTACCTCTAAAGTACCTTCAACGGGCCCTTAAACCCTTAGCACAAAACCCAAAACCCTTTTTCGCTTGGGCCCCTTGACAGTCCCTAAGCCCGAAAGTCTAAACCTTAAGCCCTGCAACCCATTTGCCGACGTCCCACGCCCCAGTTGTGGTTTAGGGTAGGAAGACGAGCCTAGCTCCCATCCATGACATCATCTGGGCGTTTTTATGCCTCCAGCCATTAGCAAAATCGCCCTAACCCCTAAACCCTAAGCGCCCTTCAACAGATCTGGATCCGAAACACAAGCGCCGCAACTCCAGACATGTCGGCCCGACTCAAACGCCACCAGACGAAATCTTGCAAAAATCCAACGCCGCAGCCCTGGCATTCGCACCCCCTCCGGAATGCAGCACCTGGTGGTACTCCGGCGGGCCACCGAACGCGAAAGCTCGTCCAGGTTTGAAGGTGTCTGGCTCTCGCCATCCGCCGTCGCTGCCAGGCTAAATACTCAGCCAGATTCGCCTTCAACATGTATACACAAGATGGATGGACGCACGAACCGCGCTGAGCCAACAGCAAGGCCCAGGCACTCGCACCGGACTCGAACTCGGAACACACATGAGAGCCAACCGTGGCGTACAGGAACCCTAAACCCTAAACCCTAAACACTAAACCCTAAACCCTAAACCCTAAACCCTAAACCCTAAAGGCGCTGATGTCGAGGGGCCTCGGGCCCTAATCCACGGCAGCACCGCTACCCTGGCCGCTGCCTCGCTACGTCTCCGAAGCCTCAATTTTTGTGTCAAAGTCAAAGCCTCGGACCCAAAGGATCCATGTACCTGTATGGTATAGGGTTTAGGGTTTAGGGTTTAGGGTTTAGGGTTTAGGGTTTAGGGTTTAGGGTTCAGGGTTTAGGGTTTAGGGTTTAGGGTTATATACTTGGCCCCTAAAGCTACTGTATAGGAACCCCTTTAAGGCCCAAGTATATACTATATAGGTACATGGATCCTTTGGGGGATGGTGACATCAGCACTTTCATTTAAACAGATCAAAAGGCTCTGGGGCTTAGGATTGCGGGGTCTAGGATTTACAGGCCTGCTGGATTAGATTTTTTGGGTACCGAGTGGCTGATGTTGGAAATATTGGCTTCCAAGGCGTTCATCTTGGTACTTATTGAGGCTCCCTAAACCCTAAACACACCCTAAAACCCAAAAACCCTAAAACCCAAAAACCCAAAAACCCTAAAACCCCAAAACCCTCCTGTGCTAAGGCGTTGGGCCTTGAGGCTTTGTGGCAAGCTGTGCTCGATTGAACCTTCACACCGCCCACGCCCGACACTAGAGGGGCCGATCATCTGGGGGGCCTTAGGCCTTAAGCCTTAATTAGGGTTTAGGGTTTGGGGTTTGGGGTTTAGGGTTTGGGGTTTGGGGTCTAGGGTTTAGGGTTTGGGGTTTGGGGTTTAGGGTTTAGGGTTTAGGGTGCGTAAAACAGGAATACACCCCTTGTCTGGGGCTTGCGCTTGCCGTTCAGGGCCTGAGGCATGACAGAACGTGGCGACTGAGTGAGTTTCAGGGTTTGGGGTTTGGGGTTTGGGGTTTGGGGTTTGGGGTTTAGGGTTTAGGGTTGAGGGATTAGGGATTAGGGTTTAGGGTTTCGGGTTTAGAGCTTAGAGCTTAGAGCTTACGTTCAATCATGGCATTCTTGGTACTGGTGGTGATCTATGTGTTTGGAAGGTTGGCAAAGACCGCGCCACGAGCGATTTGTCTTACTAATTGAGTTTTGCTGCGTCTAAGTCACCCATACCTCTTGGTTTAAATACATAAATACATACATAATAAAGAAAGAAAATATAAACACAATTGTTCTCACCCAACATAACATTGATGTGTATATGTATATGTATATATAGATTATGAGGCGCTCTGACGCGGGCACAGCTAAATATCGGGGTCAGGCTTTGGGGCTTAACATTGGATGGCACTTAAAACCCTCTGAACGAAACTCCAGAATCTGATCTCTTCAGCGGAAGAAGGGAGCATACCCTAAACCCTAAACCATAATCCTTAAACCCTAAGAAATATTTCAAGGGATGCCACGAAACCTCGCCTTGCCCCAAGGGTCTAGGGCTTAAGGGTTGGGGGGTTGAGGATTTCAAAAGCAAAACTTCTGTATTTTAGCTGTTTCTTAGGAAATAGTAGTACCCAGAAAATAACAAAGATTCCCCAAAATCCCTAAATTTCGGGACCCCACAAGACCCAAACAGCCATCGCCGCCCTACCCCATCCCGACCTTGCCACCGGCGGATTGTAGGCCAACGACCTGGCAAGATGTGGTCGGACTAAACTGTGGACCTTGAAACCTAGGAGACTGAACCACAACCCTAAACCCTAAACCCTAAAACCCTGGTGAGCCTGAACCCTAAATTAAGAAAAAACAACCCTTATCAACCTGACTCTGGATCGGCACCAGCCTTTTCTTGATCATTCGCGAAGCCAAGATCCAAAGCCTTACAAAAGCCGCGACACACTCGTGTTATCCTAAACCCTAAACCCTAAACCCTAAACCCTAAACCCTAAACCCTAAACCCTAAACCCTAAACCCTAAACCCTAAACCCTAAACCCTAAACCCTAAACCCTAAACCCTAAACCCTAAACCCTAAACCTTCCCCAGCACCCAGAAGCTCACAAGCACGAAAGCCAGGAGCTCCAAAAGACAAAAACAACCCACGCAAGATCTACCCTAAATCCTAAAAGGTTTAAGGTTTAGGATACTCTGCCAAGGCAGCTCTCGACCCGAAAAAAAAACTCCACACAGCGTTTGGCATTCGTTGGTGGGCCCCTCAACCCCAAATCGCCCTAACCCAAAACTCCTAATTTTCCACCCGTATTCCCTAAACCCTGAACCCCAAACCCAAGTCGCCCCAACCACCTAAACGGCCTAAGCCCTAAGCCCTAAGCCCTAAGCCCTAAACCCTAAACCCTAAACCCTAAACCCTAAACCTTAGCCCCTAAACCCTAAACCCCAAAGCACCAAACCTCAAATCCAACAACGAAAACATCGAAGAAGCCTCCACGCGATCTCCCGGCTGCAAGGTTCCGGAGTCGGCCTCTCACAACAAAAATAGGGCTTAGGGTTTAGGGTTTAGGGTTTAGGGTTTAGGGTTTAGGGTTTAGGGTTTAGGGCTCGAAAGTACCAAAATAGGAAGTACTGCCAGGCCTAAGTATTCCCTATTTAGATACATGGACCCTAAACCCTAAACCCTAAACCCTAAACCCTAAGATCTCAACAAAAGACACCACTGAGCCATCTCAACCTTTGAACCTGAATCTGAAACTAAGCCAGGCCTGCAGCCCAAACAGTGACCAATGCTTCGACCAATATCTGAACCCAAAAAACACTAATTTGAAACTCGAACACCTACTAAACCCTAAACCCTAAACCCTAAACCCCAAACCCCAAACCCTAAACCCTAAACCCTAAACCCTAAACCTAAACCCCAAACCCCCACCCCCAAACCTTAAACCCTTGCCGCCTCCTGCGCAAACCAAGCCGCGGCTGCTCCTGCTGTTAGGGTGTAGTTGGGAGTGTACACTGAACGGAGTGCCGGAACGGAACTTGATCATCTTTGTCTTGCTGGCTGTTGGGTTGCACAGACCAAGTACACCTAGACGATACCAGGTCCATGTGGGTAGGGTTTAGGGTTTAGCATTTAGGGTGCAGGCTTCGGGCTTACGGTTTAAGATTTAGGGTTTAGGGAATAGGGTTTAGGGTTTGGGGTTTAGGACAGTTTAGGATTTAGGAATTCGGGCTTAGGGTGCCTTACGAGAAGGGATCGCGGTTTTGGGGTCACATATGGATGGGCGTAGCGTAGCTTCTTCAATTTTAGCTGAGGGCTTAGGGCTGAGGGCTTGGGGTCTGGGGTTAATTTTAAGTATGTTTCTTTGCTTGCTTTTTTCCGTGTTTTCTTTCTTTTTATATTTTTTTGTGGGGGGGAGGGGGGTCAGGTGGCGAAGTGTTCGGATTTTCCTGACTGAGCTCAGCTTCTCGGTGTCCTTTCAGCCCCAGCCTGAAGCACCACCCTGGTAAACCCTGAACCCACCCGAAACCCGAAGCCGCAAAGCCTAAACTTCCTGAACTGCGACTCCATCTTCCTAAAGCCCGAACCGACTTAAACTGTAATGTTAAACCCTAAGCCCAGAAACCCAAGCTCATGTAACCCCTTTAAACCCTAAACCCTCAGCCCCTAAAGCCCAAAAAACCCTAAAACCCTAAACTTTGAACCCCAAGCCCATGTAACCCTAAACGCAAAAACGCCGTAAGTCGTCTACCCTACTCCATCTCCTAAAGCCCCAACCCAGATTAACTGCAATTTCCAACCCGAAACCCAAAAACCCTAAAACGCCGTAAGTCCTCAACCCTAAACCCTAAACCGAAAAACCCTAAACCAGAAAAACCAAAAAAAAAACAAATCCCAAAACCCAATAAAAAACCAGAAAACCCAAAACAAATCAAAAAACCCTAAAAAGCCCTAAAAAAGGCCTGCGTCCCGCGCAGACTTCTTCCGCCGGTCGTCTCGGACCCTCTCGCCCTTGAGCATGGCTTCCAGCGCCTCTTTCAGGCAGCGGTTTCCAGGGTGTTAACTTTGGGGAGTTAGGATAAACCCTAAACCCTAAACCCTAAACCCTAAACCCTAAACCCTAAACCCTAAACCCTAAACCCTAAACCCTAAACCCTAAACCGGCCTCCTCGGGGTTCGCACCCCCAGAGCGCTTCCGTTTCTTCTTCTCCTTCTGGGACCGCGAGGAGCTGGAACCTTGGGAGGGGCTCTGTGAAGGGTTTAGGGTTTAGGGTTTAGGGTTTAGGGTTTAGGGTTTAGGGTTTAGGGTTTAGGGTATAGGGTGTTTAGGGTGTTTAGGGTGTTTAGGGTGTTTAGGGTGGTTTAGGGTGGTTTAGGGTGGTTTAGGGTTTAGGGTGGTTTAGGATTTAGGGTGGTTTAGGGTTTAGGGTGGTTTAGGGTTCAGGGTTGTTTAGGGTTTAGGGTTGTTTAGGGTTTAGGGTTGTTTAGGGTTTAGGGTTGTTTAGGGTTTAGGGTTGTTTAGGGTTTATAGATTCCCGAGTACGCTAGTGTTAGCCCTAAACCCTAAACCCTAAACCCTAAACCCTAAACCCTAAACCCTAAACCCTAAACCCTAAACCCTAAACCCTAAACAAGGGGCACCCTCACCCACCCCCCCCCCCCCAAAGAAAAAAATGTTTCAAGGGTTTTTTCCAAGGGAACCTAAGTCCCAACAAACAAAAATCTTTCAAGGTGTCTATAGGGTTTAGGGTTTAGGGTTTTAGGGTTTTAGGGTTTTAGGGTTTTAGGGTTTTAGGGTTTTAGGGTTTTAGGGTTTTAGGGTTTAAGGGTTTTAGGGTTTTAGGGTTTTAGGGTTTTAGGGGGTTATAGGGTTTTAGGGTTTTAGGGTGCTATTGTTTCTGAGGAGGGCGGCTCGAAGACTCGGAGGCCTTCTCAACGAAGCTAAGATTCGCAGGCCTCGGAATGGGCTGCCCGAGGATTTCAACTCGAGACCCCGAACCGGTTTAGGGTTGAGGGTTGAGGGTTGAGGGTTGAGGGTTGAGGGTTTAGGGTTTAGGGCTTGGCTGGGGTTTAGGGCTTGGCTGGGGTTTAGGTTTAGGTCAAGGTTCTTCCTAAAGTCTTGAACTTCTAGGGTTTTGGGTTCGGGTGCAGGTTTTTATTCTTTTGTTGGGGGGTTAGGATTCAGGGTTTAGGGTTTATGGTTTAGGAGCCCAAAAGGACCACGCGGGTCTGTGGGATCTTGGGGTGTGGGCTTCATTGTGCTGGGGTGTGCGTCTAAGGTTTGTGGCTTGAAGATTCGGGTTTAACGTTGGGCGGTGGTCCCTACTCACATTCCCTCAAAGGCCCTTTGTAGTTCTACTAAAATAAGCCCGCAAAGCACCCTATTCTAATTATTAAGGCACCTATATTGCAGGGCTTAGGGTTTGCAGGCTTTGCAGGGTCTGCAGGCTTTGCAGGGTTTAGGTTTTCGGGCTTAGGGCAAGGGTGGTTTAGGGTTTAGGGTTAGGGTTTAGGGTTTAGGGTTTGGGGTTTGGGGTTTAGGGTTTTGGATTTAGGGTTCAGGGTTTAGGGTTTGGCCCCGCCTCACTGACACCACCTCCTTTGTGTCCTCCATCTGGATCTTCCAGCGGCCCTCATACAGCACAGCTGGTGTGGAAGGAGCCGCGATCTAAACACTAAACCCTAAACCCTGAACCTTGAACCCTCTACCCTAAACTACCCTAAACTACCCTAAACTACCTAAACCCTAAACCCTAAACCCTAAACCCTAAACCCTAAACCCTAAACCCTAAACCCTAAACCCTAAACCCCAACTAACCCTAAAACGCAGCCGTTTGGAGCTTTCCGTGCTTTAGGGGTTTGGGGCATCTTGTGTTGCAGGGCTCCTGCAGAGGGAACACCCTAAACCCTGTTTTCGGGTTTAGGGTTGGGGGAATCCTAAACCCTGGGCGGATTCGCCTCGAGCATCTTAACCGGGTTTGCAGCAGCAGCCCCCCCCGGCCCCCCCGCCCCCAAGTGTCCCAAGTGCCCCAAGTGTGCCAAGTGTTCCAAGTGTCCCAAGTGTCCCAAGCGTCCCAAGTGTGCCAAGTGTCCCAAGTGTTCCAAGTGTTCCCAAGTCTCCCAAGTGTTCCCAAGTGTCCCAAGTGTTCTACGGTCCTCAATCCTACATCCTCTTCCCCCTTTGAAACCCTGCACCCTAAATCCCGAATCCCTAATCCCTATAAACCCTAAACCCAGGCTGGGTCCTTGTCCGCGAGGAACTCCTTAGTGACGCCCACGCGCTCGTTAAGCTTCCTGGCACAGCTTTAGGGTTTAGGCTTTAGGGTTTATGGGGTTTTATTTAAGGGTTGCAGGCGTAGGGTTTATATCTTAACCCGTACACCCTGCACAATGAGGGTTAAGGTCTAGCGGCTTTCAGGTCAAGAGTGGGATTTGGCAATGCTTGAGGTGGGCTTGGAACACGAAACCCTCTGAGCCCTCAGCCCTAAGCCCTAAACCCTAAACGCTAACCCTGGAGGAGCCTGAAGGAGGCGGTAAAACAAACAGGCTGAGGCTTGGCTGTCAAGGCCCACTGCCACAGAAATACAACATCAATGGTTTAGGGAGAGTTCAGTGAAAATCCTCCGCCCTGACATCTGCACTGATGAGGAGTCCTGCCCGCTTCGGATTCCAGGCCGTTGACCTCCGCAGCTCTAGACCCTAAACCCTAAACCCGAACCCTAAACTCCTACACCATTAGCCCGAACCTCCGGGTTTGCCCGGGAGGGGGGGAGGGCGGGGGGGGTCAGGTCTCAGCAAATCCTAGGACGTGAAACCCCTCTGAAAGGGTTGAAGGGTCTTTTGGCTGGGTTTCTATGCAGACTTCGGGGGTTTTGTCGTGGTTTGAATTTCGGGGTGTTCCGAGGTTTAGGGAGGTGTTTAGGATTTAAGGTACGCTTTAAAGTCCAACCATCCCTAATGGCCCCTAAACCCTAAACCCCAAACCCTATAAACCCTAAACCCTAAACCCTAAACCCTAAACCCTAAACCCTAAACCCTAAACCCTAAACCCTAAACCCTAAACCCTAAACCCTAAACCCTAAACCCTAAACCCTAAACCCATACATCCCAGCCTCCACACGCTGCCCGACTTGGAAGTAGGCGCCCTCCTCCGGTTGCGGGCCTTGGCTCCGTTTAGGGTTTAGGGTTTAGGGTTTAGGGCTTAGGGTTTAGGGTTTAGGGTTTAGGGTTTAGGGTTTAGGGTTTAGGGCATTCTACAGAGTTTTAGGGGCAGCTGCCTAGGAGAAGAGCGTAACCTTTTGTTGTCTAACTCGTTATTCTTCATGAGGTCCTAACCCTAAACCTTAAACCCTGAACCCTAAACCCCAAAACACTACAGTAAATCCCGAAAAGGGATATAGGGTACTGAGGCTTTGGGGAGTGTTCAAGGTTGAGAGACTCAGGTCCAGGATTCGGGTTTAGGGTTTAGTAAGGGCTTGGGATTTAGGGTTTAGGGTCCAGAAATGGGGGTTGGGGGTTCATGGGGGGTTGGGGTGTCAATATACTGACCCTACACCATAAGAACCCCCTTGCTGAAGCAGCACCCACGATCTCAGAACACAAGCCTGCACATCATGTCCCAAACCCCCCAGAATGTTTTCTGTCAGGTTACAACTGTAAACACTCCTTCCCATCCCCCAAGGCCTTACAGCCTATTCCCTCAACCCCAAACCCTACACCCCCCCTTCGCAAGTCCGCTGGGACTGGTCCAAGGCACCACTTTCAGCAGGTAGCTGCTTCAGGTGTTCCGGCCTACAGTCCGTTTAGGGCCGTGTCGCTGGACTTGTGGGGCTTTAAGGTTTAGGGTTGTTAAGGTTTTGTGGATGAATATCTTAGGGTGGCTCAGGACCCATCAGAGGGATGAAGGTTAGACCCTAAACCCTAAATCCTAAACCCTAAACCCTAAACTCTAAACCCTAAGCCCTAAACCCTAAACCCTAAACCCTAAACCCCCCCCCCCCCCCCCCCCCGGCGTCCTCCAAAAAAGTACACCTTCTTTCCAAGAGGCCCCCAGATTCGTTAAGCTTCCAAAAGGGTAGAAGTCACACCTAGAAGGGGCCAAAAGCCACCCACTTTACGCGGCGGGTTTTGGTGGTGGTTTTAGGGTTTGTGGTTTTTTGGTTTTTAGGGTGTGTGTGAGTGTGTGTGGATGTTTTGGGGTTTTTAGGGCTTAGGGATCTTTAGGACAGCGCGAACAAGCAGCAGGTTAGGGTTTAGGGTTTTCTGGCTCAGGACCTCACACCAGGAATGTGGATTCTCATTACCTGGGTATTCCCAAGAACCAGGCTTACATGAATTCACCCCATAAGGCAACTAAACCCTCAACCCTCAACCCTCAAGGCTCAACGCTCAACGCTGAACCCTCAACCCTCAACCCTCAACCCTCAACCCTCAACCCTCAACCCTCAACCCTCAACCCTCAACCCTCAACCCTCAACCCTCAACCCTCAACCCTCAACCCTCAACCCTCAACCCTACACCCTAACCCTAAACCCTGAACCCTAAACCCTAAACACTAACCCTAAACCAACCAGGGTCTAGGGTTTAGGGCTTAAGGGTGTAGGGTGTGGGGTTTAGGGCTTAGGGTTACTGCCCGCAGTTCAAAACCCTGAACCCTAAAAACCCTGAAGCCGTAAGCTGCCCTAAAGAACGTAAGCACTACACCACTAAACCCTGAACATCTGGGTACACCGACTTAACACTGACGACTTTGCCAGGAGCCAGCGTGACCTGACATGTCAAAGTGACTAGGGGGTTTAGGGTTTAGGGTTTCGGGTTTAGGTTTAGGGTTTGGGGTCAGGGGAGTTGAGGGGGCTTCTCTTAGGGGCCGAATACCAGAGGCTCAAAAAGGGCTAACCTTGGATATATAGTAGGATTCTATATAACCAAACATGTTAAAGGTGTTGGATGATTGCGACTTAGTCGCTGAGTTCATGAGTCCGTTTTAGGAAAAGTAGACAGAGCCAAAAAAAAAACTCAAAGTATAGTACTCCAAAACCCTAAACCCTAAACCCTAAACCCTAAACCCTAAACCCTAAACCCTAAACCCTAAACCCTAAACCCTAAACCCTAAACCCTAAACCTCTCTTTCATATATAATTTAAATGTTAAGGAGTTACTGGGCAAGGTCGCCGTTTTACTGGGCAAGGTCGCCGTTTTACTGTGCAAGGTCGCCGTTTTACTGGGCAAGGTCGCCGTTTTACTGGGCAAGGTCAGTTCGGTCAAAAAAATCGACCTTGCCCAGTAAAACGGCGACCTTGCCCAGTAAAACGGCGACCTTGCCCAGTAAATCGGCGACCTTCCGCCCCTGCCCAGTAAAAATACGACCTTGGACCCCGAAGGTCGCCGTTTTACTGGGCAAGGTCGCCGTTTTACTGGGCAAGGTCGATGTTTTGACCAAAATCGACCTTGCCCAGTAAAACGGCGACCTTGCCCAGTAAAACGGCGACCTTGCCCAGTAAAACGGCGACCTTGCCCAGTAAAATGGCGACCTTCGGGGCCGAAGGTAGCATTTTTACTGGGCAGGGGGCGGTGTCCGAAGGTCGCCGTTTTGCTGGGCAAGGTCGCCGTTTTATTGGGCAAGGTCGCCGTTTTACTGGGCAAGGTCGCTGTTTTACTGGGCAAGGGCGTTCGGTCAAAAAAAAATCGAACTTGACCAGTAAAACGGTGGACCCTTGCCCAGTAAAACGGCGACCTTCCGGCTCTGCCCAGTAAAAATGCGACCTTGGACCCCGAAGGTCGCCGTTTTACTGGGCAAGGTCGCCGTTTTACTGGGCAAGGTCGATTTTTTGACCAAAATCGACCTTGCCCAGTAAAACGGCGACCTTGCCCAGTAAAACGGCGACCTTGCCCAGTAAAACGGCGGAGTTACTGGGCAAGGTCGCCGTTTTACTGGGCAAGGTCGCTGTTTTACTGGGCAAGGTCGCCGTTTTATTGGGCATGGGCAAGGTCGTTCTATAAGTAAAATATTTTCTTAATGTTGTGGGATTCTTTGGGCGGGTGGGTATTTTCCTGGAGTAACTGCTTGACTAGTGAATGCTTGGACTTGAGATGCTGAACCCTAAACCCTAAACCCTAAACCCTAAACCCTAAACCCTAAACCCTAAACCCTAAACCCTAAACCCTAAACCCTAAACCCTAAACCCTAAACCAGCCACTTTAGGGTTTAGGCTCACGTTGCCTGGACCTCTTGGCATGAGCTGTTGGGGGAAAGGGTTTGGTTTCAGAATTGAGGGTTTAGGGTTTAGGGCTTCGGGTTTAGGGCTTAGGGTTGAGGGTTTAGGGTTTAGGGCAAGTTTAGGGTTTAGGATTGAGGGTTTAGGGTTTAGGGCTCAGGGTGTTCGTTGGGGTTGAGCGTCGCGAGTAGCGGGGTTTGGAAATGCAGGAGGTCTTGAGCTTGTAGGGCACGAGCCGAACGACACCCGAAGCAATTCAACACATCCTGGACAAGGGTTCAGGGTTCAGGGTTCAGGGTTTAGGGTTTAGGTGCCCCTTATATACCCTATATATAACCCAAGGGCCCACAATTCAGAACCCTTTAAAGAAGGGACCATGTCAGGGACCATAGAAACCCCT